CGGGGGGGGGGGGGGGCGCATGCTGAGCTGATCAGGTTCAGGTTGGCTGAGCTGCAGGCAGGCATGCGCATGCCCTGCCTCACGTGCTTGCGCTGCCGCTGCCGTTGCTGCTGCTGCCACGTGTCGTGCAGCCTGGGCCCTGCAGCGCCTGGAGTCGCAGGTCCCCTCCGAGCTGCGCCAGGCCGCCGCGGGCCTGCGCACGCTGGTGCTGCCCGTCAACCAGATCTCCACGCTTCCAAACCTGGCCTGGTCGCTGAGCCAGCACCCGCGCGCCCGCTTTGCGGTGGTGGTGTCCAGCCTAGAGGGAGGCATGCCGATGGGGGACTTGGCGGCCATGCTGTCGGGTAGGCTCAGTCAGCAATTGCTTTCTGCCTGATCCAGGCGCTGTTGCCTGTGCTGTCTGAGCGGTGAGGGAGAGGTGTTTGCCGGCCCCAGCCCATCCCGCCCGACACCCACACCTGCTCGCAGGCTACGACGGCTTCAGCTGGCCCGCCAATGCGCTGCTGCTGGCTGGCTTCCCGACCAAGCCGCCCTCCGAGCTGGCGCCGGTCTTCAGGCATGTGGCCACAATAGAGGACCGCTTTGCAGCCTGAGCGGAGGAGTGCCTTTGGCCTGTGGCCCAGCGCTCGCTGCCGTGAGGGAGCAAGTTGTTGGGCAAGCACGAGCTCGCATGAATCTACAAAACTGTGTCAGTCAGCGAGTACACATTTCAAGCTGCCTGCTGCACGATGTGCGGGCTGTGGTTGCAGCTGTGCTGCTTTCATACGATATGGCCCAGGTTTAAACGTGCCCTGCGGTGTGCTGGTGCCGCCCGCCGGTGATGCGGGGTCCTACCACCTGCTTAGCTATCACTATCAGAACCCTCAAGTCGGGTTTCCAGCCTTTCCCAGAAGCCTGGCCTGTTTGCCAGCCCTCAACAGCAGACCGACAGGTCGGTCGAGAAGCCCATGGCGTCGGCGACCAGGGGCGACAGCGGAGGAAGGTTCGCAAATACTTGCATTGTTTGCTGTTATGAGAGCGCCAGATGGCACAGGCCCCACGTGTCCCGCCCAATGGCGTACCGCCCAGGATGGGGTGCCAGCTGGCCGCGTCCCGGGCATCAGAATAATCCTTTATAATCGGCATTGGCTCTTGTTCGCTACCAGTATTGACCCAACCAATCAAGCCAACCGGCCCCCTCCCCCCATTTTTGCGTTTCTCGAAGCGTCCAGCCCTGACGCGGTAGCCAAATGGCTCGCTGGGGAGTGGCCCTGCTGATTGTGGCGGCCCTTGTGGGCTTCGCCAGGTAATTTGCAGGGCAGTTGACGCTTGCCCGGTGGAGGGCGTCCCCGCGGCGGCAACATCTCTGAGGAGGCTTTCCTTCCATCCATGCTGCAGCGCCAACATTAATTATGACCGCATTGCGGCCCGCACGGCCTGCTACAAGGCCTGCACCACCAGCCAAGGCTGGGACCCAGGTCAGTTTGCCGCCCGCTGCGGTACTCGCGGTGGCCGACCTGGCCCGCGCCCACACACGTGCCTTTCCACATCCAGCCGACAGCCCTCATGCCGAAACACTTCAATCAATGTGGCGGTGGATCCAAGAGGCGGGGGGGCGGCACGGGGTGGGAGCATGATGAGGCGCTGGCCGCTGGGGGCTCTGAGCCCGCCGCATGCCGCCGCCGCCGCCGCCTCTTGAGGGCCGGGGCGAGGTGCTAGCATCCATCCGCGACGAGTCCCTGCACCCTCTTAACACCGTCGGCCACATTCATTGTAAGGTCGCGACTGTGACAGTGCACCCCTGTAGCATGCACTTCTTGACATCCTGCCTCGGCGACGAACCTCAGTCCACGTGCTGCCACAGCAGCTCCTGGCACAAACCACGTACCGCTGCCAGACCGGTGCTCCACCCGCGGGCGTCCCATCCCGCGGACGCCGAGGTGCAGGAAGTGATGGGTGCTGCCGCCGCTGCTGATTTTCCACCGGAATCGGTAGCGCGCGCGGCCGGCCACGGCACCGGCCACCTCCAGCCTCTGCCCCCCCGCGTCCGCCGACGCCGTGAACGTGGCCACACTGCTCCTCAGACGCTTGAACTCCTGAGCTCGCTCCGTCAGGGCCGCCCACTCGGCGACGGGCAGCGGTCCTGTCCTCTGTGGCATCAGGTCGGAGCTGATGGTGCCTGCGAGGCGCAGCAACGGGGCCGCCTCCTGCCTTTGCTGCCGGATGTGGTTCCCCACGCTGTCGCCGAACAGGCGGCATGTGGCGGCCAGGCTCTCTAGCGCCTCGTGGTCCAGGTGGCGCAGGATGGAGTCGATGGCGGCGCCTGGCAGGTCAGTGATGAGGTGACTGGTGTGTGTGTGT